GATAAATTAAATCTGACTTCCTCTGTTGAGTCTTTTCTCTATCATGTCACACAAACAGATCATTTATTGGTAGCTGGATTTCATGAATTCATGAGGTAATTGAGTTTATTGGGTCATTTATTTTTGCTGCTGCAGGTGATGTGGAGCTGGTGTCCGGTATTCCAGTTGGTACTATTGTGACGCTGGAGCCTGACCTGTCACCTGAGCATCTTGAGTTTCTGGAGATGATCTCCACTCCAGGGAGAACCACAGCGACTGTTCGCACCAAGAAGCCGCTCGACGCCGACGTCCTCACTGTGGTAAGCTCCCCCACTTTACTGCATCTGAATTTGTTTGTTGAATATTTGTGTTTATTTGTATTTGTATTTAATGCAGATCTTCACTGAGATTCTCAGCATAATTTATGCTAACATGCTGCAGCAAAACTAACATCCTCTGTGTTTTTATGTTGCAGACTGATAGAGTGCTGCACTACGCTTTGGTTTGTGACAATGTGAGTGAAATTCCAAAATACGGAGCAAACATCGCAAACTAATTGAACAACTAAAAAGTGTCACTTTCTGTTTCTATTTTTACAGTCCAGAAACTTCCGCAGGCTGATAATCACTGATGTCAACGACAACAGTCCAGTATTTGATAAGAAGTTTTATTCTCAAAATATTTCAGAGGTAAGTCAAAGGAACTGTAAACCTTTCATACATCTAAGAATCAGGTGATTGGCAGAAATAAAATTGATGGTGATGAATTATTCAGTATGATCAAAATAAATCTTAAACTTTATGTCTTCACTCTTCATTGTTTTCTCAAAGAAATGAGGAAGCAGCATTTATCTCTCATTTTCTCTCTCATTCGTTCTGTTGTCTGGTTTTTCAGAATCATGTTGTCAACACTGAGGTTCTGCAAGTGAGAGCCGTGGATGCAGACAGCACACCTGAATTCAACCTCTTCACATATTCCTATGTAAGTACTTTGAAATCAGTATTGTTAAATAACAATACCAATAGCATAAAGTATGTTTTATGCATGTAAGCAGCGACCCTGCAGCAGGTTAAGCACATGAGAAGTAAAATAGATGCTAACAATGATGAGAAAAAAATCAATTTGTCCAACTTTTATGAAATCCAACTTTCTTTATATCTTTAAAATGATAGCGGCACAAACGAAAATTTTTGCTGCACTAATGTTTGACACCAATTTTGTTTGATTTCATAAAAGTGGGGGGGCTGGTTGACCTTTTGACCTTTACACTTTCATAAATATGCTCAAAGCGTGCGTATGTTTTCTACGCTGACGTTCCTTCCTTCGGGGGGGAGAGGGGGCACCGATTTATGTCTTCACATCCACCTGAATAATGTGCATTTGCGCCTCTGGACGTAATGACAATAGACAAGAACCCGACCAGTAAACACAGACACAGGCAAGATTAAATACATAAGGAAGGTTATCAGGGGAAATGAGGGGCAGCTGGGGACAATCAAGGGGTAGACAGGACAACACAGAGACTCAACTGAACACAGAAACCTAAATTAATACACAGAAAAACCAAAACCTTACATCCTTTCAAATCCGGCCCTCCACAGTCCATAGGGCCACATAAATAGTTATGGTGCTACATTTGTGCAGGTTTGTGCAACAACATTTTTTTGTTTAATTGTTGATGCTCAAACCTACATATTAATAAATTCTTCCAGAGGTCAAAGGTCAATGAGTCCCTTCATAATTTACAAAATCAAATAAATATGGTGTCAATCAACAGTGCTACATTAATCTTAGCTGCACAAAACCAAAAGTTTGATTTTTGTTAATGTCAGGGTTAAAAGACCTCTGGAAATGTTTTATTAAAATATTTAAAAATATAAAGGCACAAACAAAACATTTTGCTGCACAAACATTTGACACTAACTTCTTGCTCCACCACGCTTTACAGTGATTGGTGTTTTCTCTAATATTTTCTAGCTCTACGGACCTGAAAAACATGCTTTTTACTACCAAATCATTCTATTTTCCATTCTAATTTTATGATAATTAAGCCCATTAAGTGTATAAAAAGTTAAGTGTATTTTGGTTTTCTACAAATGTTCTGTATATCACTGACTATTGATGCCATTGTTCTCCTTCTAGACTCCAGTAACACAAGACTTTACCTTATCAAACTCCGGGGCGTTTATGTTAATCAGACCTCTGAACTACAACGTTGTACCAAAGTACAATTTTATTGTCACTGCCACGGTAAGAAAACACAGAGACAAAGTATATTTATACACTCTGATTTATTTAACTCCTATCATAAATGTACCATCCCTTTCTTTGTTGTTCCTGTTGCAGGACAATGGCGGAAACAACGACACAACCTCAGTTGAGATCGTTGTAGAAGACTTTGACAACTTAAATCCCTTTTTCAGCCACAGTCTCTACCAGGCTGTTGTTCCAGAGAACCAGGTGAGGCTCATTTAGTGGTTATGTGAGTTTTACCTCATTGTTTGGATGTAAAGCAGAAATTTATTTCAAACTGACAGAATTGTTGTGAAGAACAGACTGACTGTGTTTCAGGACGGGGATCTCAGTGAAATACGACCAGAACCAATAAAGGCCCAAGATGGAGACACTGGGATCAACGAGACGATAACATACAGCATCACTTCAGGTACAGAAAACCTGCTGTGGTAAAACTGTCAGTTCAGACATGTTTACCATAGAACAGAAACTGAGCATATAAACCAAAGGGGCCGAAAGTCGGTCCTCAAGGGCCGGCGGCATCCTGCACGTTTCAGTTCTCTCCCTGGTGGTTTCAGCTTGTCAGTGTTCTTCTTATGCCTCTAATGAGCCATCATTTGATCCAGGTGTGTTAAACCAGGGAGAGAACTAAAACATGCAGGATGTCGGCCCTCGAGGACCGACTTTGGGGACCCCTGATATAAACAGTCATATAAATCTAAAATATGTATGTCTGTTCAGTCTCTCCTGTCGATTACCAAGCAAACTTCAACATCGACGCCGACACCGGAGTTCTGACTGTGGTGACGTCGTTTGACAGGGAGGAAATGGACAGAGGTGAAATCTCTGTCAACATAAAGGTATTATCTTTTATTCCCAGGTAGAAAATGAAGAAAACTCGAACATCATTAACGATATTATGAGAGCACAGAGGAAGTTTACATACACCAAAGAAAAAGACACAAATAAACTTCCTGAAGTTAAATCAGACTAAACTTCTCTTGTTTTAGTTCAGTTAGAATTACCAAAATTATTTCTATTTTCTAAATGCCATAAAAATGAAAAATATGTCAGGTTTATGTATTAATGTCTTTAACATAATAAGTTTACATACTTTTCTGTTGCATTTGAACTCTATAAACTTCAACCTTCTTACAATAGTTGGCTGGAGTTCTGGTCCATTTCTCCTGACAGACCTGGTGGAACTGGGTCAAGTTTTCTGATAGTCCACATTTAGTCTGCTTTTATTTTTCTTTGGGGTGGGAGAATCTTTTTTCTTTTGCTTTCCTTTATAAACAGTCACTATGATTATATATAAATAAATACAAAATGTTTCATGTGTCAAATAACATACAAAATAGATAAATAGAAATATGAACTAATTTGGGTAAAAAACCAGTCTGAAATCAGCTACCAAGTGTAGGAAAAACTTATATACACAAACTGAACTGTTCTGCTGTAACAGAACATTAGTTTTATAAGATGTTAAATGTCTCCCTCATGCATTTTTTAGAGCACAAATATTATGTGCAAAACTAAAATCAGGAAATCTTTCTTTTAAACATGCTCAACACCAAAATATGTCACATAAAAATCCCCTGCAAAAAGTAAAAGCTTGTAGAAGCTTCCTAATGATCTGGAACTTTGTTCACTTTCATTTCTTCCATTGGTCTCAGACATTTCCAGTGAAGTAATGACTAACAGACACGTTGCTACAACTGCAGCCTCATCTGCAGATGCTTTACCAACTGTAACCAAAGTTTGTTATAAATCTTTCCTAAAGTTTTGAAGCAAGTTTTTACCAGTATTATGAAGATGATATGGTCCATGCCTATGAGGAACTAGTACTTTTTCAGCAATACTAAGAAATTATGTGGACTTAAATCAAGCTCATATCTTGCTGAAAAGTTACTTATGTTACTTATAGTTTTATGGAATTTCAAGTAAACTAATATATTTGCACTAGAAACTAGAACAAAAATGCTTAAGATTTTGTATTTTTGCAGTGTGTATGTACACTTATGCTTTCAACTGTATATATAGAATAAAGATATATCGCTAGTTAATAAAACCATGACATGGATTCACTGTAGCTTTGAGCTCAGTCTGTATGAAAAATGATTGTGTGCCTGCAGGCGGCCCAGACAGACGACCCTCTGAAGACCGCCGATGCCGTCGTCTCCGTCACGGTGGAAGATGTGAACGACAACGCTCCAGAGTTTGATCAGTCGAGTTACAACGTCTTCCTTCTGAAAAACTCCTTCACTAATACGGTCACTGATTTGGACCAGGTGGGCTTTACTACCATCATAACCGGTTTTTTGCACTCTAGTCACATTGAAAGCTGAATAGAGCTTCCAGGGAGGCTTAAGAGTGTGACCCCTCTGTAATTGGAGCACATCCTCCAGTCCCCCTGTTTGAACAGGCCACCACCATCCCAGTCTGCCAATCCAGGGGAACTGCCCCCGATCTCCATGCAATATCTAAGACTGTACCTTTAAGACCAACACAGAGCTTCAATTGAAATAAAAGGGTGTCGTGGTCAATGGTATCGAATCCTCAATGGAGGATTGGTCAAAATTCAGCTGAGTTGCAGGGAATGGTCAGAAAAGAAGGAAATAGAGAAAATGTCAAAGTGATTGGTTGGATTTGCAGAAAATAATTGATTACTGGTGAAAACAGCAAGTACTTGCAAAATTTACAAATGAGGAGTAAATTTACATTAATATTTGTGTCACACGGGGATTTTGGGTTTTCATGAGTTGTATGCCAAAATCATCAGTATTAAAACAATAAAAACCTGAAATATTTCAGTTTTTATTTTTAAATATAAATATTTTTGTGCAATGAATCTAAAATATACGACAGTTTAATTTTTATCATTACATTATAGAAAATAATGAACTTTATCACAATATGCTAATTTTTTGAGAAGGACCTGTACAACAAAGGTTATACATTCATGGTACTTTGCACTGAAGGTGAAGTGTGCTTTGAAAGTTCATTGGAAGCAGCCATGGTCTTGGAATCACTGATGGTGAAGTGTCTTTGGTGCTGCTCTTTTTTTCGCCAACATGCAGGAGGAAGACTTCCAGCCTGGAAGGAAAAACAAGAAATATAGCAGAAACATTAGGATAATAAAAAATATTTTAAAAAGTAGTGTGAGCAAAACTAATCAGACTCACCTGTGTGTGTCACCGTCATATTCATTCACATTACTCTGCCCACCCAGTTTTCAAGATAAAGCATAAAAATGTCAGAAATAATTACTAAAGAAATTAGTCAACTTATAGAAAATTTATTTTGGACAGCATTAAAAGTTCAATCTGTCTGAAGAAATGTGTTGGAGTCATCATAACAGGCTTCAGTCATCAACATGAGTGTTGATTTAGACTGTTGGTGTTAATTTAGAAATCAACACTGGACTGGACTGCTTTTTGTTTAACTCTTTGGAACTCTTTAGTGAGTGTTAGGGGAACTAACACTCATGTTGTTGAATTAACACTGTATTTTTAACATACAACACTTACATTGGAAATCTAACACTTTTGAATTTGTCGTGGTCAATGGTATCGAATCCTCAATGGAGGATTGGTCGAAATTCAACTGAGTTGCAGGGATTGGTCAGAAAAGAAGGAAATAGAGAAAATGTCAAGGTGATTGGTTGGATTAGCAGAAAATAATTGATTACTGGTGAAAACGGAAAGTACTTGCAAAATTTACAAATGAGGAGTAAATTTACATTTGTGTTGTTTTTGTTTTAACCAAATGTTTGGTTCAAAAAAACCAAAGTAATAAGTTTATTTGGTTGATATTGGGTAAAAATGTTCCTTGATTGTGTGTCTTAATGTTTCCAGAATAATCAAAGATTTACTGGAAATAAATCCACTTAAAAATAAGCCAGTGTCCAGTTCTGCCCGGGGTTTTTCTACCCTGGATAATTTGACTGTATTCAAACAATCCAAGTCTCACAGCTAACAGATGGACATTAGCTTTGAGAGACACTCTTTGTAGTTGTTAACCTGTTCCACAGACTCCTGTAGGAAACTAGAGCAAATAAAAGTAACTGTTTTATGGATACTTTTGCATGTTTTTTACACCAGGAATAGAAATCATGCACTTAATTCCCTCATTGTTCACTAAACTGTCTCATTATGAGTTGTTTCTGAAACAAACTATAAAACAGCAGCTCTTGACAGAATTTTGTCAGGTTTGCAGTTTGAATCACAAATCTCACTGACTTGTCATTCATTTACTGGGAATTAATACTGACTGTATTAACGTGGAGCTTAGTGGGTCTGTTTATCTTTGTCAACAGGCAGCTAAAGCACCAGGCTGAACAGTCCTGCCTCATTTTCTCCATTAATTGCAAAGTGTGTTTTGAGGTTATGAAGTAGTAACTTATAGATTAGGGCAAAGGTCAGCAACTTTGGTCCAGCAGAACAAAGATATTTAGAGGCATAAAAACTACATGATGCTCATGATCATGTAACTTTCAGAACAAAATATAAAACATATAATTATTAGGACTTGTTTTACTAAGAAAAACAATAAACAGTATATGTATATATATGTTAAAATATATACATTTTTAAAATCCTATGTACTTTGCAACCTAAAGGCAAAAAACGACTTTACAAAAACATTCACTGTGTGACAGATGCATCTGAGAACTGTCTTTTATTTATTTAACAAACGTTTCTTCCTGCACAGGACGTATTCTCCAATGGTCACTTTGTTTACTCCAGTGATACTTTTGACATTAACAATCAAGGAGTCGTTTCATTTTCCAGAAGCAAAAACCATTAACCTATTGCCAAAGAACAGATGGATGTTTTTGGGCTGTTTTTAGAAGCAGCTGAGACCTAAATGGAAGTTCAGAAACATGAAAAGTGTGAATTTTGCATAATGAGTCCCTTTTAAAGCAGCTATTCAGTATTATTGTTTGCAAAACACTTTATTAAGTCAAACCTTGTGCTCTAGAATATCACTACCATCAGAGTGAGCATCACAGACGACGACAACAAACCCGAGTTCAGCTCCAGCAGCTATGAAACCAGCACCGTGGAGAAGAGGCAGCTGGTGCTGACGCTGAGAGCCACTGACAAAGACACCGGGAACAACTCGCTCATCACCTACAGGTTCGCTCTGAACTCACATTACAACCACAAACTGCAGTTTACACAGATTTATAGTCACAAACCATCACAAAATAGGATGAAGTTGATATAACAGGATCTTTTTTGTTTTTTGCAAAGGAAAAAAATTAGAAAAAAATGGAGGCATGTTTGTAAAATCAAATTGAGAATCTTTGGCAAAGCTGAAAAATGATGTTACAAAAACTCTCCAATCTGATGGTGCAGGAGATATTTTGCAAAGAAGATTGAGTAAAAACTTCAATGTGTTAAAGTTGGTAGAAACAAAAGACTTGTCTACTCCAAAAGGTGGTTCTCCAAAGTGTCTCCTTAATAAGTACAAAATGCATTTTGCATTTTCATAGGTTTGAATGTAAAGAATGTGAAAACCATGTGTTTGCCATCCATTCAACAGCTCAATCAATCAGATCAGTTATTTGTAGATCACATTTCATCAGCAAGGCATTTCAAAGTGCTTTACATCATAACAAACACAAAGTCATGCAACATAGAATCAATAATCAAAACATTACATTAATTCAAGTGCCATCATTAAATTCGTAATTGATTACATTTCAAATCCAACTCTAAACAGGTAAAAGAGATTTAAAGGTACTCACAGCTATGTTATACTTTGTGTTAGTGAAAATAGGGAAAAACTAAAGTTGTGAATAACTTTGTTTCAATCAAACACACCAACTCATTAAAAATATTCCTGCACTTAAATCTTTATTTCTGGTTGCAGTTTCTCTGAAGGACATTCACCATATTTGGCCTTAGACAGTGAAACAGGAGAAGTGACGCTGACCTATGACCTTGCTGATGTAACAGAAGACTTCACACTGGTTCTGACAGCCGAGGCCACAGATCATGGCAAACCTCCACTCAGCACCACAGGTCAGAATATTGTTTTGTTTTTCTTATGTATTTATGCATTAATGCTGTGATTACAAAGGTTCTTAGGCTGCAGACATCAAGAACATCCAAGATTGTAATCTTCATGGCTTCTTTATTTCCTTCACATTAATGGAGAAAATATTATGTATTTTTTTGTTTTTGATGCCAAACACTGTTTTACAGATCATGACATTTACTGTTTGTTGTCTAAATATGTAAACCTGCTGTAGCCGTTTTGTAAATCAGTAATAAATGATTCAAAGTGATTTACTGCACAGGGGAAGAGGTTCAAAATGGTTTTTAATATTTTTGCCACCTCTTCATTACAGTCGACTCTCATTTGCTAAAATATGTGACCCTCATGTAGCAGGTCACAATTTATGATGTGACCTGATGTGACTTATAATAACCTTACTGTGCAGATCTAATAATAATAATATCAAAGTTCAAGACAGAGAAATATATGCAGTCGAACGCTGCGATCACAGATTATGATGGGTTGCATAATTTGGTTTCACCACTGAACTCAGGATTTTTCAAAACTGTTGCAGAATCTTGAGATTTTTGCTCTGAATGGCAAGTAAAAGAATCATCTTTTTATCCTCTAATGTTGTGGTCATCCATGACATTTTTTCATAAACTGCAACATGTCTATTATAAGAGGGAATAATGATATCTGTGGTTCCATCCTGCAGCTCGTGTTGTGGTGAACATCATGAATGCCAGTCTGGCGTTCCAGAGCTCCTCCTACAACTTCAGCCTGAAAGAGAACCAGAATTCGGGGGCCTTCGTGGGGCAGGTCCAAGCCTCCGCAGGAAGCAACCTGTACAACGTTTCCTACGAACTGAGAACACACAAAGACCTGTTCTCCATCGACAGCGATGGCTCCATCGTTTCCACAAAAGAGCTGGACAAGGAGGAGCAGGAGTGGTACATCCTGGATGTGGAGGCTGTGACCACATGGACGCCTCCTACCTCAGCAGTGGCCATGGTAACAACAACATCACACAGCTGTCATCACAAACTCTCTTTATCGTTGCTTTCATACAAACCAAATGGACATTTTTTGTCTCTCAGGTCAGAATTCAGGTGGAGGATGTAAACGAGCCTCCAGCGTTCTCCTCAGACGATTATGAAGCCTCTGTGTTCAGCATCGCCCCGTACAAAATCCCAGTCATCCAAGTGAAGGTAAACTCCTCCTATCGTACAAAACCCCAGTCATCCAAGTGAAGGTAAACTCCTCCTATCAGCTGTTGGAAAATGTGCTTCTGAACTTGTTTATCTCCACATTGATGTAAGATTGCAGATCATTTACTGTAAAGGCCATAAACACCTGGCTGCGTACTTTGACCTGAAACCCTCCCACCATTAAAGTGGTTAATATGTGAACAATCTGCATCAGGAATGTTCAGGAAGCTTATCGTTTATATTTATTTTTATTAATTCTTTATTTGTTCAGTCAATACAGAGTTACAACTTAAAGAGTAGAAATATCCTCTGATCATTTGTATCATGTTTTTATTATTTACATGAATAAGATATAAACCAACTAAGAATGGTACAGGAAAAACAGAAGAAAAACAAAACAAAAGTGCATACCACTATGTACGTGTGAATTATTTAGGATATATGGAGAGAGAGAGAAATAAACCAGAAATGTAGAGTCCAGAAACGAAACAAGTGAGCTGGAATGCCCAACAGCAGGGTCGAGGTTTTGTCTGTAGTACAATTCCTCGATAACATATTTCCAGTCGAGGCTCCAGTGCCCAGCAATGTTTGGCGATCATACACAATCAGAGAGTTTACACTTGTAATAAAAATAAAAGGGGACAGCAGA